CTCTTCATCAGGGCCCGCCGTTCATCCCCAACCAGCACCACACAAACTGGAGACCCCGGTCTATGACTGGCTACCAAGGAAAGCAGTCGCATGTTAATGCACAATTCCAAAATCAACAGACTCCTCGCGGTCCCATGCAACATGGGGGTGGCAACAACAAGTACAAAAAGAAATTTAAACACCGCAATGATCAGTTCCCTTATGGTGCGCAGTCACATAATGCACAGAATCAAGGCACCATGATGCATAATACGCATGGTTATTCTAATCCTTCACAGACCGCTGGATCTTCTAATCCGTTCTATCTGCCAGGCGGCGACCATGGTGCCGGTAAGGGATCTGGAGACTACTTCCATAGCGGTCAACAGTATGGAAACTTTCACAGCAACGCATCATCGGGCATGACACAAGCCCCACATACCGCCCCCAACACGCGGGCTCAGTATCCCTAATGCGGGTCAAATAACTTTAAAATAGCCCATGATTTTGGGCAAATGGATTGCTTTGAAACACCAGTGCAATCAATTAGTAATGCAAGTAACAGTTATTTCTGGGACAGTGTAGAAGTTGTTTAGAATGACAGTAAGCTAAATACGCTTTTGATGCAATACGCCGCTACTTCACTGTCCTAGAAACTTAGTGTTATGGTTCTGTTACATTGTCGCGTAGGGTAAATGTCTTGATAGGGAATAAATTGAACTGTGACGTGACAATTGTTGTCTGTTATTTTTAACCTAGTAGTTCTTACCGCAATGAGGAGTTTTGCTTTCAGCTGGGTCCTAAAGCAGTCCCCGAGTCTCGATCTTAACTTTGAAGACTTCCCACGTTTTTTGTTCATTTCAATAGTTGCACCTTAAAACTTAAATATACCTGGCATGTGTGCTATGGCGTTGCAAGAAATATCTTTGCAAGAGTTGCATCATGTAGCATATAACAATCGAAAGTACAAATCAAAACTGAGCAGTTGTACTTTTCTGATTAATTTTACGGAGGGATAGATGATGAGCTCAGGCTGCATGCTGCGTTGCTAAAACAGAAAGCAAATCTTCTGAGAAAACAGTCGACATTTCGCGACGCCACCACTGGCTTACCCGCGAAATGACGTCAGAAGAACGACTGCAGAAATTCCATACTGATCACGTGGTTATGAAGAATTAGCTGGGAGATAATTAACAGTTATTGGACGAGGTTGAGCAAAATATCCTGATCAGATCAATTATTTGCCGAAGCCGAAGGCTCAGGTAAATCATTGATCTGCGAGACACTAACAAATCATGATATTTAACAATTATTCCTCGAGTTCGAATGGGCTCTGAGTCAATAGCCCATTCGATCGCGCTCTTCTCCTTCTTGCGATTGCTCTTGCGTGAAAAATGGCAGATTGCTTCGCTTTCCGAAGATAGTCATTAAAAACAAACTTGGTGATGGAATGATAAGACCGAAAGCCCACCACGTGACCTGCAATAACTGCCGACAAATAATGGTCTGTTCATGCGCAATGTCGTCCTACAAATAATATTGTGCTCATGCGTAAAAGAAACCACGCTTTTCTCCGTCTTGCGAAAAATGGCAGATCACATCGCTTCCGGAGATATTCATTAAAAAAACATACTTGGTCATCGAATGATAAAACAATTATTGAACTCGGTTATCGCAAAATATCGTGATTTGTCATATTTGCCGAAGGCTCAGGCAAATACTTACTAATTGATCTGCTAGCCACTGACAAATCACGATATTTTACTCAACCTCGTCCAACAATTGTTAAATATTTACTGTACCGTGTAAATGTCGAAAAAGTTCAGTCAACTGATTAACACCAGGCCCGTAACCAGGGGGGGTGCACGGGGTCCATTCGCACCCCCCCACAGGCCCCAAAGGTCCGCATTTTGATACTCAATATCCAGTTTAAGGAGTGCAGTCGGTTAAACTGAAGTTTCAAACTTAACAGTGATATTTAAACAAAATCAAAGAATGGAAAAAGCAGTAGTGTATTCACTGGGAAAATAAAACCAGCTGCACTCTAGTAGCCCGAGCCATTCAGAACATTTCAATGAGCGCACAGATGTCCCAGCGTATCTATATGAAAGATGAAATTAACGTGCGCACACTTTTGCACAGGCCAAATACAGCAGCCAAAGCTCTTAAGGAGTGCGATGATGATCTCTTTCCAAAGAGGGTCTAGAAGAGGGATAGGCGTAAAGCGGCCAAAAATTTAGTCGATAGCCGTAAAAATTGAAAAATTTTAACCGTTAGCCGTAAATAGGGTAAAAAAGAGTTAACCGTAAAAGAAATTGTTTCCTAGATTTGTTTATTTTAAGGAAGGTGCTAAACTCGCTTATGGTTGCTTTTTTTATTTCCCGGCTACCTTTGACTCCGTACGCACGTTAGGCCAAGCGCCTTTTAGGTGTTGACCTAGACCTAGGCTCCATTTCCGCCGCTCTCTCAAATAATCAAGTTTTTTTCCATAGCAAAAATCTGGCTTCTTGCTGGCGATTACTATTTGTGATTTTCAGGAGGTCATGCCCTCGAAATACTAGTGAAACAACACGCAGAGATGTCACTGTTTGTAAAACATGTTGTCGATAAACAACAATTCCCTGTTTTTCTCTGATGCTACGGTAGACATTGCCATGCCTAGTCCCTGTACGGCGTCTTCCCACGCAATCTCGGTCAAGGCAATTTGGTGGCGTATCTATCCCTGCAATGAGCTGTGAATGTGAAAGAAGTGCGAGTTCTTTAAGGCGGCTGCATACATATAACAGGGCATGCATGGGCCAGGAAAGGCTGTCATCCCTCGCACTAATGCACTTACATTATCAAGTTAAAATTGTTTTGGATGAGGTGATAAATCTGTTTGCCACCAAACACCCACGGAGGCTGGAGCTCGGGATTATTCTGAGGGATTAGTTCCGCAGTATTTTGATGTATCATTCGACAGCGTTAAAATTACTCCTTTATAACTTTATTCAAACAGTTGTATTCGACAAATGTAATATTCAGTTCCTATCGTGTACTTTGCCATTACAATTTCTCATGTATTGCTACTTTCCTAAATAAACGGATCAGACAATAAAATATATATTTCGGTAGTTTGGTCCACTTTGGTCTCGTTAGCACCCCCCCATATAAAATCCTAGTTACGGGCCTGAACACGTTCAATGTACGAAATAATTTCTCTGCCTTTTTTTGATCTCAGGCTCTATACCTAGCAAAAGTCAAAGAGCGTTCAGTTGCAGTAAGAAACAATAAAATAAACTACCAACGCCGAAGATTTTTATATGGAGAATTAACCTGAACAATTAGCCTGAACAAGCAAAAATAACTTTCAAATTCAATCTAACAGCTGCAAGCAAGCATTCTTAGCCAATATGCTGAAATTCTGAACTAACAGCATCATAAACTAGTAGGGGAGGGAAATCTAGCATTTTTTAATGGTGCTATTTTTAATAAGATACTTTGTGCTTATGGTCATTTTATTTTGCCCATTTTGTTTAGTTAGCTGTTCCGACATTACTCGTCTTCTCAAATTTTATTGGAGCGGCATGTGAGTTCAGAAGCAGTTAATTAAAGAAACACTTCTTTTGGCGTCTTGAAGTCCTTTTTAATCTTTCAGGCCCTAAAACAATACACTGTGAATGAATATCCTATTGTAAATATGATTCGAACGTGAGGCGGCTGACTGACAGTCGCAATTCTTTCCATGGCGTTAAATTTTCGTAACATGCACTGAAAATGGTGGCGAAAGACCGTATGTTCAATCTATTTCTTCTGTCTATAAAACTGAACTGAAAAACATTCCCTCTCCTGTCCTATTGCGGTCACAAAAACGGTTTTATTGAATAGTGAAATAAAAGGTATAGCTAGAGATTATTATATTTTCTGTTTAAATTCCAGTCCCAGTTGAAATACAGATAACATCTGCAGTACGGCTATACCAAATGCAGGTCGGGAGTAATACACAAATCTTGATCACCTTAAATACGGGTATCATAATGTTTATTTTTCACCATGCAAATGGCAGCCCGCGCCATAGTCGGTTTAGAGTGTTTCTGAAAATGACCCAAGTTAAATGAGGACAGATAAAAACTGAAATTACTAGGAGAAAAAATAACAAAATTTAAGGAGTTTTCAGTTTTCTTGGTTCAGCAGACATAAGCCTTCAAAGTTTATCTATTAAAAGGTTCTTAAAATGTTACATGTAACTCCGCAATGGACAAATTAAGATACATTAGTGTTTACAAATATCATGCTGACAGCGAACTGTTTTTATCATAATATAGCTTCATGAATTGTTGTCCTATTATAAAAGAACTTAGCAACTACATATATCGAACATAAACGTAAATCTTTACATAATATTTACAATTCTCTCGTTGGTTGTTTGACTTGGGGGGAACCGATAATGCTGAACTTATTTGCCCAACAAAAGTTCAAATGTTTATCCGCTAACATAATTCCCCGCTGTCGAACTCGTACCTGAAAGCAGGTGTTTTCCTTTCTTCACTATAACAAATTTAGTTTCACAGTGTGACCGTTCTTTATATTTTAAACTGTAAGATGATTTTTTTAATATCCAAACATAAACTTTGCAGTCACTCTATGAACAAACAAGCTCAACACTTGTTCGTGCCATTAAGATATCGCTGCATGCGTGCGTGTGTTTTTTCCCCTTTTTTTCTTTTACCTTGATTTCATGAATATGTTTCCATTATTAGAATTAATACGCGGTAAATAAGTTTTCCGCTGAATCGTCAAGTTTTCCACCTTGTGGTTAAGTTCGTCGGCGACTCCAATTTCCACGTTTTCGCGGCTTTGTCCATTTTGCGAGCCAGGGATTAATGGCAGCTTGAAGCTTTCTCCTCCTTTCAGATCAGTCGCATCAACAACGAGTTTATCTCGCGACATGAAAGTACTTATTTTTGTAACATGTTTTTGTTTTTGGTTTTGTACAGTGTAAAACTCTGGCATGCTTAAGCTTCTTCGCGCCAAACTTTGTTCACTAGCCTCGGTAAACGTTTTCTGATTAGGGTTTTCCCATTGCGTTTGCCTCCGTTTTGTTCGACAGCCGTCTTGGGCTTTCATGAACTGCGGTCCTTCAGTGGCTACTAATCCTTGACATACCCCACCATGATCATCAATAAATGGCAAAGAAACACTCCGTTTTCTGTAGCTTCTCTTCGAATTCTTTCTTGTGCCTTCTTCTTTGGAGGCGATTGGTAAAAGTTCATCATCAGTTTCATTAGCGCTTTGGAAGCAGTCATTAGCGTAATTGCTAATTTCAGCGTCGGCCTCTATTTTCTCCATGAATACCGATAAACACAAAATTATCGAAAAACACTACTCTTGATACTCGGTACCTGATAATCCTTAGTAGAATTAAAATGAGCCAATGTCTGGTTCGGCAACCGATATAATAGTGCCTTAAATCTGCTAAAGGGCCGGCAACGAATCACTAGCGCTCCGGTTCTTTTCTTTTTTCCCAGACTTCCGCCAATATTTTGGTTTCTCTACATGTCACACGTCCATGAGATTACATAATTATTCCTTTAAGAAAAATCGCCGATGTCGTTTGTCAATAAAAGTCCTATAAAATTCCAGTGGATTTGTAGCCTCAGTCAAGTTTCTCAGCAGTTTAAACATCAAATAATAATATTATACTAGCAGAGGGTCGGAACACAAGGAAACCGTTGTATAGATCAGTTGTCCGACTTAAAAAAGGGAAATAAAACATTGTTTTAGCAGCATTCTTTTTGTAACTTCCTCGCTAAAGTATTCTCGCTTCTTACTATTGGACAGATCAAAAAGTTTTAATCGATATTGGTTTGTAATCTCTAAGCAGGTGGTGAACGTAAACATTGGCGTGTTTTCTTCCTGTCTTCTTCGCACTCTTCTAAAATTATTCTTTCAAACTTAATTAGCTGTTTTGCCAAATTCAAAGCTCAACTCAGCATCACGTCTCAGACGGATAGCTTGCAGCTGACATTACCGGCACAGGGAAACCATCCTCTGTTAGTTTGGTAGCTTGGTGGCCAAGTTCTCTCTTGTTACTGTGGGCCAGGAGCCCATGAAATTTGATAGGCTCCTGTGTGGGCGAGATAGCCACCCAAGGATCATTGCCCCCAGCAGTAGGGGAGGGAAGGGTGAGCCCGGGAGATCATTAGGCCACGAGAGGGGTATGAGATGCGGAAGACCTGAGGAAAGAGAGGGAAATGGGAGTTCTTAAAAAGCGAGAAGCGGGAGATATGGGGCAAAATTACGCAAAAATGCTTAATATTCGGTAATGAAAAAGGGGCTAAAAGGAGAAAGCCAGAAAACAGGAAGGGGAGGGACCTAGGAATGCAAAGTACGGGAGGAGGGGGGTTGTTTGGACCCTCCCTATCCTCCCGGCCCACCCGGAAGGATTGGTTTTGTTCAACCTGCATGAAGCTATGCACTACCGTTACCTCACGAGACGTTTTCATTCTCCAGAAAGGTTATGTTTCCAGATCAACGCCACGATCAGCCAATGTACTCATGCATCGGATCAAGAATTCCGATAGGATATAAAATTTCGTATTGCTCAACTTTCCATTTTGTCGCCTGGGAAAACAAAATGGATACACATAAGCAAGATTTCTTACTTTGCTGCTGCCCCTCCCTCGCCACTCCTCTCTGGTGACCACGTTTCTATTGCACAGCGGATCCTACCACTAACACCAGTACCATTCTTCTTCCAGCATTTTGAGAAAAAATGGCGGCACGTGATGTCTGTGTTGCACGGATTGTACGAAGACAGCTGACATTTTTCGTTCCTTTTGTCCTTTTGCGGTGAGATAAGGAAGGCAAAGATACCATGGCACTTAAAAAAGCGAGACAAATGTTGCTTGATCCCATTGAAAGTACACCAGGCAAAAATATCACCAATCCGGATGACGGTTCCGAAAGCACCAACAAGTTTGTCTCGTCACTTGTGATCAACCTTGCATTGGCTTTGGTGGCAATTTTTTTGTTTTCTTTTTTACGACCAAGACTTAAACGCATCTACTCCCCGCGACAGCTGTTGCTTGATATGATGTTTCCTCTCGGGAAGCTACCAAACTCGTTTTTCGCGTGGGTAATTCCCGCCTTCATGGCGAACGACGATGATGTGTTCTATTATGCTGGCATAGATGCTGTTGTTTACATGCGATTCTTAAAGCTCTGTATCAAGATATCGCTTGTGATTATGCCTTACGGAATTGCAGTTTTGCTGCCTTTAAACTATTATGGCAAAGGAGGTTTATTTGGTCTGGATAGGGTTGCACTGTCCAACGTAACGGAAGGATCCCCGAAATTGTGGGCACATTTAGTTGCAGCATGGTTTTATACTGTGATTATTTGTTACCTTCTGTACGAGGAGTGGAAAGTCTACATCATGTATCGTCAAGAATACCTTACTTGTGGAAAAGGTCACCAGTATGCAGTTCTACTGAGGGATTTGCCAGTCAAGGTACGTAAACATGTTTACAGCAGCGTAGGGGGATGGAATAGCCTTTTCCTGCAAATACAGTAGTATCTCACGCAGAGCTTTATCACATTTTTGTGGTGAAAGTGTGAAATCTGCCTAACATAGTTGGATTTCAAATACTGTTGTTTCATGTAAGCATCAATAGGTGACTAAAAACAGAGTTGTAATAGGATGCAAAAATGACATAAATCACAATCCAGCAGACAAGTGTTAGGGAACCACCACGGACGGGTGGGGCGACGGGGGTTGGGGGTGGGGGTGTTGCAACTTGGAAGTCCAGGGACAAAATTATTAAATAAAACGAACCACACTGAACATAACAGCTCTATTTCTTTTATTCCCCATTCTCATACTGCGCAAGCACATCAATTAATGTACATGTAAAACAGCTGTGACGTAACTTCATATAATGTAACAGAACTATCAGGAAACAAAGTCACAATACAACAGGGAGTACTCCCCTATATGGCCTACACAGGGATGTGCTGCTGGACAGGGACCTATGTTTTTTTACCTCTCTGTCATAAACAGGGTATATAACTTCATGGGAGTCTGTCATAAACAGGGTGTATAATTTCATGTGAGTTTGTCAACAGGATATTGCCGAGATGAATTTTGTTTATACTCTAAGAATAAAAAAGCAATGGCTGAATGCAAATTTGCTTTATAGCAATTGCCAGTAAATGGCTTTAAAACAAGACGGTGTGCAGTTTGTTGTTTGTCCTAAACAGGGTAGTAAGACCGAGGGTGTTGTCCTAAATTTTACTCTGGAAATCATTAATATTGAGAATTAGTGCAATTCAGATTGGTGCCATGCTGTAGACTGATTACACAGGCACACTGTAAGATACCCCGATGTGTCAGGTTTCCCCCCTAATTTCAATTCAGGTACCACTTTTATTTGGTCTTCATCCCATGTATCAGGTACTCCCTCTCCCTCTGAGGTCAGATAACCTCCCCCCACTGGTGTCAAATAGCCCAGGGACAGTTTATGTCAAGTACCCCTACTGTATCTGTCAGGTGTTACGTTGCATTAAACAACTTTCCTGGTCCTGGTTGCTCAAACATGGAGTAGCAAAATCCAACAGATAAAATACCCGTATGAAACATATCACTCATGCAGCACTGCATTACAAGCACTGCACAAATGGCTGCAGGAAGGCTGTATGATAACTGCACTGAAAACGCTGACAAAGTCTCGAAAAAATGACCGGACAAAAGACGTGTTAGCGCTGCCAAAGTAATGACAGATAACTGTGCGAATCACGCATAAGCTATGCACCTTTTATCTTGTGGATAAGTATTAGCCAGGAAAACCAATTCCATTATCCACTGGATAGAGATTTATCCAGTGGATAGAATGATCCACCTTTTTCACAACTACAGCCTGTGCTTTACATATTGTGATCTTTAGACCTAACTGCAGTAGCTGGTATTTGGCATCAACAACTCCATCCACTGCTAGCTGGAGGCAAAATAAAATGCCAACTAAGCCACTTGGCATCGTCAAAATACAAACACTAGTATATAGGTCATTCTTATTCAGGACTGTTCTCTTGGGAAATGTTGTGTGGGTTGAGGAAATTTGTTTCTGCTTTGCATTATCTCCTGTTGCTGTACAGTCATGTTATTAATTAGGTATTGTTATGAAGATGGGTTATAACAGAAATAATACAAAATTAATATATCAGAGGTTTTTCAAAAAAAATGTTATTGCTGTTTTCTTTTTCCTGTCAGTTCCAAAATGAACAGAGTATAAAAAGCTACATTGAAGAACTTTTCCCTGACCAGGTACAGTCCATCACAACTATCAAACAAAAATTTCAATTATTGTACATAAAAGTGTTATGATGATATATTGTATCTTTTAATCTAACCCTGTTTGACCTGCTTATATAATCTTCCTGTCTTGCCTGCAACAGATAACTTAAAACACAATGCATGAAATTAGACTTGTTAGCTTTGGTGTTTAATTCTGAGTACTGCTCTCTGTTGGGGTGGCTAAGATTCATTTGACTAAAACTTAAGTCTAAAAAAGGTGGGCAAAAAGACTGAGGTAGTTCATTTTTCTTTTATTATTATCATTACCATGATCATTCATCATTATTAATATGATTATGATTGTGATTATGATTATTATCTTCCCTTGGTGCATGCTTCACAGCAGGTACATGTACGGCATTGCCGGAAATTTTAGTCCCATCATCAAGTCACAACAAGCTGCCTTATTATTGTCCAATTCGGTCTGTAATCATACTCGTGAGTAAACAAATCGGACTCCCGCTACGCGGTCGTCCGAGTTTGTTAATCACCCGTATGATTACAGACCGAATTGGACTCCACTCAGTCCTGTTACCATTACTTATTATTATTATTATTATCTAAATTAATATCGTTAATTTAGTTTAGTTGAAATGAACCGGTTTTTTTTTAATGGAATAATTTTTCCAATATGATATATTTTTAATGGAATGAATTTTTTCAACCCAAATTAAGTGTCTTTTTTTTTAATCGAAAGAAATAATATAAATAGTGCTTTGCCTGAATAGTTTTTAAGTGAAATTAATTGTAAATAGGATTTTATAGTTAGCTTTGTTATCAATAAAAGGTTTGGGTTTTTTATCTAAATCATTATCATTATATTCATCATCATCATTATTATTATTATTAGTCCTTTGTCATAGAGAGACAATCATAAAGAGTGAGAACAGCATGGTTCAACCAATATGGATCTCTACGACTTAATCCTGTAAATTTATTTTCAATATGTTCTATACTTGTTTTGCCTTGCTCCTTAGAATTTTTCTCTACCCATGTA